ATGTTCCATCTCATTTCCCTTTGGGGTTGCTGTAGGTGATCTGGAAGTCTGGTTTTGAGACTTATTTACATGTTTTCTCATTTCGACTGGGTGGGCAGGGAGGGTGCTGTTGGCGTCCACGGAGCTCATCTCCTCTGAGCTGGGAGAGGTGGGCCAGGGACCAGGAGCGGTGGTGGGGATGGTGGCCCGAAAGCCCCTTCCTCTGGGCCAGGAGCAGTGGGTCATTTGGTGGCCCGGAATCCCCTTCCTGTGGACCAGGAGCCGTGGGACGGCGTTTCAGAAGCCTGTACCTCTGGGCCGGTAGCGGCGGGATGGATGGCACCCCAAAAGCCCTTTCCTCTGGGCTGGGAGTGGTGGGAGGGATGGTGGCCGGGCAGCCCCTTCCTCTGGACCAGGAGCTGTGGGACGGCGGCTCAGCCGCCCCTACTCTGGGCAGGAATTCTTTAAATGCTGAGAACTTGATTAGCTCCAGTACAGTGGTCTGGTGGTCCGGTGTCCTCTGTGTCTTTGTAGTGTGGAACCAGGTGGCTATACAGAGAAGAGCCCACAGGCCTGGGGGTGGGGGTCCAGTGGATTGCTGCCGGGGTGTGGGCTGATTCGGTGTTTTCAGCTTGACTGGCGACCTCGGGACCGGGTCCCCAGACCTGCCTGTCTGTAGCGGGCTGATTTGGTGTTTTGCATGCGACTCTGTAACCACTGTTTTAAAACAGTAAAAAGCAATTCTGAAAACTCCATTAAACCTATTTCTTAATTTATAAAATGGAAAGAAAATAATAAGCCTGAGACTATTTCATTGGTTCCAAAAGGTAAAGCTCTTTGGGAATTAGGAAATATAAACTCTAGAAATGTATTTAATTTGGAACAGGTCAGGCTTCCAGACTTTTCAGGTAAGTTCTAGTATATTATCCAAAATAGTAGTTGCTATCTAGTATTAAGGGCCTTGTGCCACTTACTGAGTTAATCATTTCCTGTTGATGATGATATCATTTGTTCCTCTCAAGGTTGTTTTTTCTTTGTTATACCTCTTTTAATGATGAAAACCTGAACCTCAGTGGAAAGTGAAAGTTAAGTTCCTAGCTCCCTGAGAAGAATGGGAGCTAGTAAGTGGCTCAGCAACAATTAGTAAAACTAGCTAGTGTGAAGCTTATGTACATAACTGTGCTCCATCAAAAAAACTTTGTGTTGTATTAGTATAAGTCTGCAATTTTCCTTCCAGTGGAAAAGTAATGACTACCGAGATATTTCAAGTGTTTTTTACTGGAATTTCATAAATGAACAATTCAATAAATTCAGTAATGAACCTTTGGTGTTCAAAGATGTAGTTTTAATTTTGATATCAATTAAATTTAATATTGTGTATCAGTTACTTAATGGAGATATTAATGTGTTATCCATTAATGTTCATCTAACATCTTTTTTCAGGTACTACTTTATTTTTTTCCGGCTTCAAAATAATTTCCCAATATTGTATAAATTTGTGTCTTACGATGTTTTTTTCCTATAAACATTTAAAAAGGGGCTGGGGATTTAGTTTAGTAGCACCCCGCCTGCCTCACAAGCACAAGGTCCTGAGTTTGAGTCCCAGTACTGGGGGAGAAAACATTTAAAAATATTGGTCATTATCTTTAATAAAATAGCATTTTAACTTCTATTTTTAAAAAACTATCAGCTATAAAATATATAATCAGATATTTGATATTCAAGTAATTTTAGGATGCTTTTTAGTCATGAATTTGTATCTTTCTGAAATTCTTTGGTCTAGTCTTTTATAATAGTTTTGAGAAGATAAAAAGGAAATCAAGTTTCCAAATTTAGTTATGTGTACTGTTTTTTAAATAAGTCAGGAAAAATAAATATAAATTTAAAAATTTGTATGTCATTTGAAGAAATGACATTGCACAGTTAATGTAAATAATAAATTGATAGAGTTTTAATTCAAATTTATATGCACTAAGATTATAGAATCATCTTACTGGACTATGGACATAATTTAACTGATTCTCAGGTTTAATGCCTTGGTAAGGTTATCTTACCATGTAGCTGGATTTAGAACCAGGTCCAGTACACACATAAGATATTTTACCATAGAATCATTTAAAGAACTGATCATTATAATAATAGCTTATTTTGTTTTATATTATTGTACATGCACTTAAGTTTATTTTGGTCACCTGCCTTGTAGAGAATTATATTAGAATATAAATCATGTAATTTTTCTATAGCCTGACCTGGACCTGTGAAAAGAAGAAATTATGAGTAGTAGATATCTGTAGTCTGTATTGTCATGTTTTCAAGTAAAACATAATGAAGAAAATTTTTAAATTTTTTTTCATAGTAGCTTAGTTTTAAAGGCTATTTTAAAATGATGTTTACTTGCATCTGTTATATCTTTAAGACCAAGACCTTTGGAGGAGCAGGGGGTGGTGCCAGAAGTAATCTCAACATGAATGCTGTTGGTAACCGAGGTAGAGAAGTTTTACAGAAAGAAAAATCAACCAGATTGGAAGGGAAACATGAAGGTGTCTATAGAGAATTGGTAAGGTTAAAGAATCAGAATTAATATGTTCTCTTTTTAATAGTTTCAATCTTTCATTGCATATATTTTCTTTACATTTTTAGAGAAGTGCTACATAAATTATTTTCTTTCTTTAATGGAAAAATATCAAAGGTTTTCCTTTTTTTTTAAATCCTGAAAAAATTTTCACTAGTTTTTCCTCTTTATTTTCAAAGGGTTTATTCTAATATATTATAAAATTTTTTGTGTGTGTTTGTTTTGCACTTGCTGTGGAATTTGCTAAGTTAGAGAGTACTCATAGCACAACCCTGCACATCATTCAGATTCCTCCTTGATTAGTAGTATTCACAAACAGCAAGTGAATGTTGTGTTAGTATGACATTTTTCTATAAATATGTAATGTAATTTTGAGTTAATAGACAACAAATATCTAAAATGTTACACTTAGCTTTCTTACAAACTATTGACATTTTTCTCTTCATTCATCACAGGTTGATGAGAAAGCACTGAAGCACATAACAGAAATGGGTTTCAGTAAGGATGCATCGAGGCAAGCTCTTATGGATAATGGCAACAACTTAGAAGCAGCATTGAATGTACTGCTTAACAACAATAAACAGAAACCTGTTACAGGTCCACCTCCAAGAGGTATAATTTACTGACCAATAATAAATTGCCAAACAGTATTGTTTGCTTTTCAGGGCAATGTATGTTATTGATAGAAGGTGAGTTTTGTTACTGTGAGGCCTGTAACTTTATATAACTTTGCGGTAAGTGGAAGAAACATGAGGTTTTGAACTATAGAGATACTTATAGGTTACTGTGATTCTATCTTCATCTTAATGTAAATTGTTAACAGTGCCTTACTTAACAGGGTTATTATAATAAGTAAGAGAAAATATGCATAAAGTGACTAGTTCTCTTAGTTCTGTTAGTCATTACAAATGACTTAACAGTCTGTAAACTTTAAATTAACAAGAAAATAACTTTTAGGGCCGGGGATTTAGCCCAGTTGTTCCATCGCCTGCCTCGCAAGCGCAAGGACCCAAGTTTGATCCCCGGTACCAAAAAAAAAAAAAAAGAAAATAACTTTTATTTGGAGTTATTCTTTAATTATTGCATGGGCAAAGGTATTTTATGACTCCCAATTCTATAGGCTTTTTAAAAAATGTGATTAAAGAGGAATTTTGTAAAAATATTTTTTACTTAAATGGTAATTTATATAAGCAAGTTCATATTTCTGGATAGATCATTTAGAAAATGAAAAGTACTATTTAATATGATTTAAGAGCTTTCTTATTGAGAAAGAAGTTAACTATACAGAAAAATATGAAAGAAATACATGCAAAATCCTGTTTAAAATTATTGCTGATTTATTTTAATGTATTTTCTCTTTTTGTTTTTCCATATGATATATGTATATACATACAAATAGATCCATATATATTGATGTATGTGTGTATAAATTTTTAGGTAGAGGAAAAGGCAGGGGTCGAGTAAGATCAGAAGATGAAGAGGACCTAGCAAATGCAAGGCCTTCAGCACCAAGCACATTATTTGATTTCTTGGAGTCTAAAATGGGAAATTTAAGTGTGGAAGGTAGGCTAACTTTTAAAAACAGATTTCTTTTTTAAAAGATCACACTATTTGGAACTTTATAAAAATGTTTAATAAATAAACTGATATATGAACCAATACTCCCAGTGTTTAGAAATTTATTTAGTGAATTTCCTATTTGACAAAACACAATAGAAAAGTTTGTTACATTCTAAAAACAAATGGCTGCTAATTTTGCCCCTAATTGTGTGATAAGTAATATCACCAACATGCTTCTCCCAACTTTACTGTTAATAGATGATAGGTTTAGCTGTATAAACACATTGTTTTATTAGAAAACTTATATAATTTTATATAACTTATTTTGAATGTAAGATTGGTCTTTCTCCACATATTATATATTGTATGAAAATGTTCACAAAGAATATGCTTTTGCAGTACAATATATTTCTTAATATGATATACTTTAGTGAGTAGCATAAATATTGAAAAGAGAAATAAGTATGTTGAGTATGTATCATTTTCTCTAAGCATAGGACATGGTAAATATTTTTCAAAGTAGTAAGTTTTAAAAACACAATTCTGGCCAGGTGTAGTGGTGTATTCCTATAATTTCAGCATTCTGGACACTGAATCAGGACAGTTGTCAGTTCCTGCCCAGCTTGGGTAATCTAGCCACTTAGTGAGACCCTGTCTCAAAAGGGGGAGGGGGCTGTGGTTGTTTGTAGTTCAGGGCAAATGTCTTGGGTTCATTATCCACTATAGGAAACGGGAGGAATCTAAAAGATTAGAGAAATACACTTTGAAATTTAGTTTTCTCTTTCAGATATATTTTAAATCTTGTCAAATAAATTTGGTTGTAAAATGCTTTCATTACAAATTTAATATGTTCAGGTTTCATGAACATTTGTTAGATTATATAGAAAAGTCGGTGTATTGTTTGAGAAGATAAATGTTTGCTACAGATGAGATTTATAGGCAATAGCATGTATAAGCAACATTTTCTTGGTTGTAAAGTATGATATATTAGTTTTCTTTTGTTACCAATTACCACAAAGTCAGTGGCTTAAAAAATGCAAATTTATTATCTCATAGTTTCTCTGTGTTATGATTACATTCATTTGGGGCTATGATTAGTGTAAGGTTCAAAGTCCTCTTAAAGGCACACTGGTTATTAGCAGAATTCAATTCCTTGTGGATGTGGGACTGAAGTTCCATTTTCTTGCTTAGTATTGCCTGGGGATTGCTTTAAGCTCCTACAGCTGCCCTCAGCTTGTTACAACAAAGACCACACTTAGGCAGTGTGACATGATGTTTGCTTTTGCAAGTTCAAGAGGAGAATCTCTGCTGCTTCTTCACATCTGTCTGATTCCTTCCTGACTCTTGACTTCTTGGTATTCTTGTCTCAACCTTTTTTGCTGCTATCCCACTCAGATCTCCTTTGATATTCTTTCATCCTCCTGTCCCCTTATATTTCCTTTTGACTCTTATAGTGTCTCCTAAATCATAATGAAGTCAAGATGGATAGTAACTTTTTTTTTTTTGTACTGGGGATTGAACTTAGGTCCTTGCGCTTGTGCAGCAGGCGGCGAAACCACTGAGCTATATCCCCAGCCCTATAGTAACTTATTTATGACTAGATACAGTTGTTTTGTGTGACTAGGCATCTAAATATTATAGTTTACAAATATGCTAGATCACATCTAATTATTGTATTTGAAATAACTTCTTTTAAGCTCATATTTTGTTCTGTATTTTTCAGCTTATACGTGTATGATAAAAATTTTTAATAAGTTCCTATATCCTTTTATTTTTTATTTTAATTTTTTTTGTCTCACAAACTAAACAGTAAGCTTCTTGGCATATTTGTGACCTGTAATCATATTTAGTTCTTTATTTCAAAATTATATTGCCAAAATAAGAGACTAGTGGTTTTGAATGGTTAAGAGATGCTTTGATCAAGCAGGCTTGAAAACACTGCTTAATTTGTTATTTCGTTGTTCTTATATGTTTGCCCAAGAGCTGTTTCCATCAGTAGCAGCTTTTCTCTCCTAAACTCTCTTTGCTTGTTTGTTTTGTTTTTTTTGGTACTGGGGATTGAATTCGGGTCCTTGCGCTTGCGTAGCAGGGGGCAAAACCACTGAGCTAAATCCCCGGCTCTCCTAAACTCTCTTTAATGATGTTGATATCATACAGAAGAGTTTCATGATAACACATTTAAGTAAAAACAGCTATATAATAAATTTATACATATATGGATTGATGATTATTATGATTGTAGATGGTTTTTTATATTCTTTCGATCATGGGAAAAAATGAAGGTAACAGGGTTGATGAGAAAGCTTGGTATGTGATTACCCTTGAGTATCTTTTGCAGGTATTATTCTTACTCTTTCTCTTGTTAATCCACTCAGTAAATGATCATATTCTTTTGTTAGCTGGGGTGCATTGTAAAAAACAAAAAACAATTGAGACAAACTACTAAATTGTTTTCAGCTCATTTTTTTTTTTCTTTTGTACTGGGGATCGAGTTTTCAGCTCATTTTTAAGATTTCATGTTTCTTTTTAATTGGAATTAAATTCTGAAATGCACTTTTGAAAAATTGAATCTTCACTTTGGTCTTAGATATTGGTCAGTGTTCCAAAATCTTATGTGTTTCTTTTTTTGGTTCTGGAGATCGAATTCGGGTCCTTATGCTTGTGAGGCAGGTGGTGGAACCACTGAGCCAAATCCCCGGCCCGTAAAATCATATGTTTTAACTAAGGTCTTCATTGATGGTAGAAAATGTAAATTTTTCTAAGGAATATCTAGAAAGCTTCTTAAAATAGTCTTCATGATGGTTAAGAGTTAAATGCCTAGCCGGGGATTTAGCTCAATGGTTCTGCCGTCTGCCTCGCAAGTGCAATGATCTGACTTTGATCCCTGGTACCAAAAAAAAAAAAAAGAGTTAAATGCTTTATAGACAGTGAATGATCAGAGTTATGATCTTATAATTTGATTAATTTTCATATCAGTATCATTATTTAGGTTTGTTATAGAAATTGACGAAGAAGTAACTGTGGATCACTGATGTATATATTTGGGACCTTAATAATTTTTGGTTTTAATACAAGTGAATAACCAATCTTCTATATTTTGTATCAACATGAGCTATCTAAAGATCATGTTTAGTTTTAGGACCACTGGAAGTCAAGATTTAGCTGAGTAAGCCTTGACCTGGATGGACTCATATAGATTGAGTATCTTTAATTCAAAAATCTGAAATCCTGCAAAATCTCAATCTGTTTGAGTGTCAACATAATGCCACAAGTGGAAAATTCCATATCTGACTTAATGTGATTGGTCACAGTCAAAATGTAGGCATGTTAAAAGTATTGTAGAAAATTACCTTAGGGCTATGTATATGAAACATAAATGAATTTTACATTTAGACTTGTAGCCCATCTTCCAGAATATCTCATTGCATATGTAAAAATCTGAAAAAGTCCAATATTTGAAATTCTAATGGTCCCACATATTTTAGATGAGGAATAGTCAACCAATATCAGATTCGATATAGTGTGTCAGGCTTGTTGAAAGAAAAAAAATACATTCCTTAAAGATGAAGTTCTTTTCTGATAAATTTAATGCAGATTAGTATCATATTTACTTTCATATAAATTTTCTCTAAAACAGCCAAGAGCGCTGTCATTTCTTCTGACTTTAAAAAATTCTATTAGAAATAACTGACCATCACATCTGCTTTTCTCTTAGAAGTTTTCTCTTAGAATTAACTTTTTGTTGTTGTATCTTTATATTGAAATCAAACAATTCTAGTTGACATTTATTAATATTCTGAAAAACATTGCATTGTTTTCTGAGAGTGATCACTAAAATGTTCCATAGGTTTTATGGGACGATTTGTTTGATCAATTTGTGTTAAGGTTGTGTTCCAAAAGGTTTTTTTATGTTTAGATTTTAAAAATTTGCTATTATAGACCAGCTATTATAGACTATTGATAGCTAGATTATTAGGCCAACTCTCCAAAAGACTCTTTTTATGTCATCCTTTATTAGTAGTTGTCACTTAAATGATAAAGAACTACTGTTGTGGTTTAGATTTAAAAAATCTCATGTGTTCAGAGGTGCTTCAGATGTGGATTATATTCATCAGTGGATTCATCTGTTGATGAGTTCATAGTTGAATGTACTGTTAGAAATTTGGGTATAGTGGCCGAGGATTTAGCTCAGTGGTTCTGCCGCCTGCCTTGCAGGCGCAAGGTCCAGAGTTCAATCCCCAATACCAAAAAAAAAAAAAGAAAGAAATTTAGGTGTAGTTGCAGGAGGTGAGTCTATGGAGGCATGCCTTTGGAAGGTATCTCTATCTGGCCCTTTCTGCTCTCTGCATCTTGGCTGCCATGGGTTGTGGAGCTTTCCTCCTCCATGCCTTTATACCATGCCATTTCTTCCTTGGAATTGACTGACCATTAATTTAAACCCTCTAAAACTATGAACCAAATAAGTGTCTCTTTTTTAAGTTACACTTGTCAAGTATTTTTTTCCCAGCTGTGAAAAAGCCGATATATACAACTGTCATTTGAAACAGTGCCAAATAGCAGTATGTATTTTAAGTTTCAACTTAGAACAGAAGTAGTAGTTTGGTTCCTTCCATTGTCATGAAAGATGTATGAGTTGGCTACAGATTGAGACAGTAACTTTACAGTTTTAACTTTCTATATTTAAATAAGGCTAGGACAACCTTAATTTGCTCTCTACCAATGTCCTGAGTTGGGAAAAGAAATTGTTTAGGTTCTGTGAATTCTTTTTAGCCCATGGTTTCATTAGAATATTATTAGAGGCACTTTAAATTCAGAAGTCCAAAATAACTCTGCTCTGAATTTTTTTTTCTTTTCTTTTTTTTTTGGTACCAGGGATCGAACTCGGGACCTTGCGCTTGTGAGGCAGGTGGCAGAACCACTGAGCTAAATCCCTGGCCCTGAATTTTTGAAATGTTCTGTCTATATATTATATTTGATAAAATTGGACATTAGGGACTTGAAGA